ATTATTTTTATAGCTTTTTTTATTGGTTGAAGTAATTCTTTTTTTTTTTTGATTGAAAAAATTGTTTTGATTGAAACTGCTTTTAGTCTGTTTGATTGAACAACAATAACATACAAACATCGTTATTATTATTAGCATTATTATTATGGCTACAGTAGTATGAACGTMCTAGTATCAGGTCACACTTGTGTTCAGGAGTTGTTTACGTCTATTTTAATGCCTCCCACAGGGAGCTGAAAGCAGCAGGWGAGATCACTATAGAGATTCCAACCAAAGCCTGTGCAGGACAGGAGAATGCAGTCCGCTCACTGGAGCACGTGCAGGTGGAGGCTAGCATCGAATACACCCGGAGAGGAGACCTGCACATCACGCTCACCTCCCCAGCTGGTAAGAGACACAAGCAACACATAAACACAAGGACATGTCAGCCATGTAACATAACCCTCCAATGATCTGCTCCTCGGGGGGTGTTTGCCTCAGGCACCACTACAGTCCTTCTGGCAGAGCGAGAGAGGGACACTTCCTCTAACGGCTTCAGGAATTGGGACTTCATGTCTGTTCACACCTGGGGAGAAGATCCTKCCGGCACCTGGACCTTAAAGATCACAGATACTGTGAGTTTAACACGCATTATCTTAGACAAACCAAAATCAAACCTTTAGGACCTGCAGAAACATTTCATCTCTTTCCCGGTGCCTTAAGCGTAAACCATTCCTGTTCCTCTCGACAGTCGGGCCGCATGGAGAACAAAGGGCGGATCTTGAACTGGAAGCTGATTCTCCATGGAACGTCGGAGAAACCGGAGCACATGAAGAAACCTCGCGTGTACGTTCCTTACAATGCTGTGCAGAACGACCGCCGAGGTGTGGAGCACATGGATGACATGATGGAGGTGAGTTTGGCCCAAACATTTAAACAAAAGAAGGAATCAGAGACAGTTTTAGGCCCTTAAAACTGTGAACAAAAATCTTGGAATATCCCATTCCAAGTGCCGTAAATAAGTTGCTTTTTATAATGCATTTGGACAGTTGCACAAGTTGCATTAATCAAACTAAAGTCATTGAAATATTTAATAATAAAAAAAAGGCATTTGAATGTTTTTTTTCTAACACAAGCTGGCTCTATTTAACATCCAAGCAGAATGTTTGAACACTAATCTCTCATAATGGTGGTCGACCCTATAAATGCCTGGGTATAGGTGTGAATGTTTTTATCTCTCTGTTAGCAAAACATCTCATCAGATAGCATCACTCAAAAATGGAAGTCTGAATAATAGCAGGAACCTACTTAGATACCTTTAAAACTCTTTATTCTCATCCGACTCCAGTCAGCTCCATGCAGTAGTGCACAGCCCAGGCCTCTGTTAGGCCTTGAGCCGTTATCAGGAAAGCTCAAACAAAGCAGCAGACTGCCCCAGGCCGCTCTAAACAGAGACTTTGCAAAACTAAAAACCCTTCTACTCATACAATGATGAATTGACCTTGTAATGTATTTCTCTTCCTGTTTACACCCTTGGAGGTGTCACCTTTTACATCAGACCAACATAACGTAACCAACATTTGTTTACAGTATACAGACAGAAAGAACACATTGATAACACACCATTTCTCATYCTCTGTCTTTTAAACCTTATGGCTGCAATGATCAGAATGTGTAAAAATGACAAAACTTGATCCAACCACCACTTGATCAGTTACAAAATTTCCTTCAYAACTRTAGAAATATGAATGAAATTCTCAGAAAGTGACCRCTGGATGGACCTCWACAACCAATTCACTTTTGAAATCATCCTTATAAAGATATCTACTTCAGCTAACCAGCATTTGCAAACACATAAAAGGGTATAACTCAGTCACTTTTATGAATATTGAGCTTTAATTTGGTGTGGTAGTAGCTGACACTYATCCTCACCTCATAATTTGAGCACTAACAAATCGTATGAGTTCTTTGTTTAAAAAGGCAGAATGCTTGTTTTGTTTGCACACATTAGGACGGTGCAGTTACGACATAATGCCTCRATTCTCCTGGAACCAAACCAAACATTTCAATGTGTCCTTTTTGTTTGTTTTGTTACAGGAGCCCACAGAGGCCCGCCCACCTCAGAAGGCTGAGCCTGCACCAGCCTCTCCTTCAGATCCAGAGAAGGAGCCTCAAAGCCCTTCAGACCCCATTTACTCCCCCTCTCTGGCCCTGCTGCGTCTCCTGCAGACCGCCTTTAACCGTCAGGGAGCTGCGTCTCAGCAGCAGCAGCAGCAGCAGCAGCACACGGAGCCGAGGCCCTCCTCTACCTGGAGGAAGCAGCAGCTGAGCCAGGCCATCTTTCCCACCAAGTTCCCGGCTCAGAAGCTGTACCAAGCTCTGGACTTGATCAACAAGTACCGCGGGCCCGAGGACAGTCTTTACAGCGACTACAGCGACGGCTTTTACAACATCAAGCCGTACAGGCACAGGGACGACCGGCTGCTGCAGGCCCTGTTCCAGATGCTGGACGACGCTCGGAAGTGAGCGACGAGGAGAAGAGAGGCGGGAGGCGGAGGTGAAGAAAGGCGTCAGTTTGGAAGCAGAGGAACAAGGCGTGGGGAAAACAGAAGAAACAGAGATGTTATTAAGCCTGAACGTGAAGAGAAGATGAGAAATACCCAAAATGCTGCATTTCTGATCTTTTTTCTGATTCATCACCTTTTGTTAATTAACTCTCTCAGTTGATCATTTCAAAACGGACGTATTYAGAGCCTACGTGCTGTAACGTTTGTGTTCATGTGTTAGATCTAAAAGCATTTAATCAAAGGGGGTGGRGGGTTTGTGATTTGTGCTGGTGTGGCTTCTCTTCTCTTTACTGCCTGCTCAAGCATGACGCCACCTTCAGAATTTAAGTTCAGCAGTAACATTCACACCTATACATCATTCAGAGACGATGATTGTGAAATGGCTTCCCGTATAGTTAGTGTCCCATCACAGAAAGCTTCCACATTAATATGATGCTTTTCTTTCCCAACATGTTAATGCTGCAGTGATTAAATTAAATTATGGATAAATTTGAAATGTACTGAATGTTTAATTGACCACTGGAAAAAAATCTGAACCCGTTCATTCTCCAGATTCAACAAAACTAAAAAAAGAAAAAAAGAAGAATTGAGATTGTCTGATCACAAACCTTCAAAAACTGACAAATAGAAAATTTAAGAGGTTCGTTTTGTTTTGCAGTTTGTTTAGTTTTGTATTCATGCAATGCTGAATTAGAGAATCTATTTTTCTAAGGTCTATTCAAACTATAAAGTTCAACATGAAAACTTTTAGCTAGCTTTTTATTTGTGGCAATAATAACATCTCCATCTGAACACTGCCAGAAGCTTGTCTCAAAGCTTCACAGGAGGCTGAAACAGCCGTCTAACGAATATGCCAACTAAAACCACCTCTGTGAATACTTGACAGCTTGTTCGTTGTCACCAAACTGTTCCTCTACTATCACGGTGAGATTTGAACAGATGAATCTGATCAGAAGTTGCGTATGAGGCTCCACACTTCAACGTCCAGACACATTCAWGGTTGAACGCTTTAACTCTCGCCATGTTATTCCAAGTGTTTGTGACATGAACTGTTGTGACGCCTCCACGCAGAGTCTCTGTTCTGCCCCGCCCCACCTTGCTGCCAACAAAAGTGATGAAGACGATGTTTGAGATGAAGCTCTCCTGGTAACGAATCCATTCTTTAGAGAAAACCTGTGCTGTTATCTTCATGTCTTTGTTCCAGCTGATCGTTCGGTCAGACATTTGTTTACATAAACTGGTATTTATGTTTCAACTTCTGTATGAATGTGTAAAAGCAAATATAAGATTTATCAAAATAAATGGCAAAGTGACAACTTGAGCGTGGCGGTCTCTGTCAGATGAGAAGAAATTTGATTTGATACAACTTAGGGGATAAATCATATCTTAAGAAAATGCACAGTTAGCAGGAAAACTGATTAAATACAATTGTTTACAAGTCCGATTTAAGATTAGAGCACGACAGTTTTACTGAACAGACGTGAGCGTGTTCAAAAATCTAAAATTAAATACTACAACTCCAATGAAGCTGGGAAATWGTGTAAAACATAAATAAAAACWAAATATTTATGATTTGCAACGTGCCTGGAACACCTCACCAGGGAGGTGTCCAGGAGGAATCCTAACCAGATGCTCGAGCCACCTCAACTGGCTCCTCTCGACGTGGAGGAGCAGCGGCTCTACTCTGAGTCCCTCCTGGATGACTGAGCTTCTCACCCTATCTCTATGGGAGAGTCCAGACACCCTGCAGAGGAAACTCATTTCRGCCGCTTGTATCCGCAATCTCGTTCTTTCGGTCACTACCCAAAGCTCGTGACCATAGATGAGGGTAGGAATGCAGACCAACTGGTAAATCACTTCACCACGACAGACCGGTACAGCACCTGCATCACTGCAGACGCAGCACCAATCCGCCTGTCGATCTCCTGCTCCATTCTTCCCTCATTCGTGAACAAGGCCCTGAGATACTTAAACTCCTCCACTTGGGGCAGGACCTCCTCCCTGATCAGGAGAAGGCACCCTAACCTTTCCACAGGTTAACTAGGAACAGATAAGTGTCACAACTAGGTATAAAGAGAGCATCCCCGAAAGGCTCAGTTGTTCAAGGAAGTGTTCACCACTTTGAGAACAACTGCRTGAGTAAATAGTCCAACGGTTTAAGAATGACGTTTCTCAAAGTACAGTTGTAAGAAATTTAGGAATTTTATCATCTACAGTCCATAATATCATCAATAGATTCAGAGAATCTGAACAAATCTCTGCAAGTATGCCTGTGACCTTCGATCTTTTACTGAGGAGGCTTTTACAGGCCTGATAAGTGTATCAGTGCCTATATAGCATGGATAACTTGCACTTCTGTGAAGGCACCATTAATGCTGAAAGCTACAGGTTTTGGGGCAACATATGCTGCCATTCAAGTCACATTATTTTCAGAGACGCCCCTGCTTATTTCAGCAAGACAATGCCAAGACACATTCTGCACGTGTTACAGCAGCGTGGACTGACCTGCCTGCAGTCCAGTCCTGTCTCCCATTGAAAATGTGTGGAGCAYTATGAAGTGCAAAGTACGTCATAGACTGCCGACTGTTGAGTAGCTGAAGTTGTAGATCAAGCACGAATGGGAAAAAATTTCACCTTGAAATTCAAAGCTTCAACAATTAAGAGTCCTTAGTTCACAAACACTTACTGAGTGTTAAAAGATAAGGTGATGTAACACAGTGGTAAACATGACCGTCCCAGCATTTTTCGAATTGCTGCTGGCACCAAATTCAAAATGTGTGAATACTTGCAAAACAGCAATAAAATGTATCCATTTGAATATTAAATATCTTGTCTTTGTAGTGTATTCAACTGCATATAGGTTTAAAAGGATTTGCTAATCAAATCATCATATTTTGTTTTTATTTATATTTATTTGTCCCAACTTCATTGGAATTGGGGTTAATTAATAAGTGAGTTGTGAAAAAAAAGTTAACAAATGAGTTTTGTTTTGAATGATGACACAAATGAACAGAGAAGAATAATTTGTGATGTGCAAGAAAGAAAAACAACGTTCAGAGTTTAACAGTTCTGACATCCAGTGTCTAAAATCCACAGGTGTAAATGTTCACCTTTTGACTGAACTATGGTTTTACAGAGAGAAGACACACAAATAACRTATTCATTTTATTGTATGACAGTTGTTTTTGTTGAAAATGGCCTCTTTCRTGCAAAATTTTCTAAATCCTCTTTAATACCCCCATCTTGTGGACAAAGCAGATCCAACACAGGGACAAAGTCTGCATATGAAATTGTGTGTCAGTTCAGCTTCAAAAATATTTTTAAACTTTAAATAATAAGCATGATGTTGCAATAAATGTGTAAAAACCCATTTGATCGTCCATCTTGCAAATGAGTTCTAAAGTTTATTCTAACAAAGGAATGAATATTGTCTGTTTTCCATAAATAAGTTCTTTCCTTCTCTGGTTYCGTTTTAATCCTTCCAACTCCAACATCTGGCTGCTTTGGTTCAACTCCAAAAGGCAAATGCTGCTGGATCCTTGGAGGGAATGTGAGTAAGGGGGTGGTGGGGGGAGTTGGAAACAAGATATGTGAAGGAAAGGGAGTGGAAAAAAGAGTCTGAAAGCAACGAGATGAGAGAGAATGTGCAGACAAGCTTAGAAAACTAATGGCTAAAAAGCGTGACTTTGACGGCACGCTTGCAGGTAAAGAACAGGGCGAGCTACCAAGAAACACACRCGCATTTAGTGAGCAGCACAAACTGTGACCAGCAAGTGGGTCTGGAAAAAAGGTTTCGTGAGTTTCTCCTCAACATGGCACTTTTCCTGCTCTGCAAGACACCYACAGGTTAGTATCTTCATGCTCTCCGCTCCTCCTCTTCTGCTTCTGTCATGCCTTTTTTTYCCCCCATCGCCTCTCTCTTTAGTTTCCTATTTATTTATGTACGCATCATTACTGTCAATCTACTTTTCAGACATGAATGTTGAGAGGGACTTATGAAGTGTGAACACCAAACGACTGAAAAATGTAAACATCAGCTCTAGCATCACATAGATTTATTCGTTTGAATGTCTTTTCTTTATATGTTTTTGTCCTTCTCCTAATCAGGAAAGGCCCCTCTGYGTTGGGATAGAAACTGATACAGACATATTGTAAGACATTTCTGGAGAAGTGTATTCTGTAAAATTCAATTTCATTACCCAGAGTTAAAAGCAGAAATTGGGGGAAGTTTTTTGAAAAGTAGAGCACGTTTAAAGAGATTCAGGAAATGACGAGCATGTGTTTGTCCTTTCTAACAGGCACAGTCCGAATGACCAGGGTACAGCTGCTCCTGTGCTGTTTTCTCCTGTCTCTTATCATCTGTAAGTGTGCAACAGAACATGTTCTAACTATTTGTATTGGGACAATGCAGGCACATGCAAATATGAGCCAAAGTACTTTGCCATCAAACTGACTGAAGCTGAGTTGTGTTCTGAACAGAAGTTGTGATTCTCCACRTTTTTTGTCTTGTCTCAGTTGCCACAAATTGCTAGAAATTTCTCTTTATCCCATTTATATGAACTAAAAGGGGAAGTATTGGACATTTGTTTACATTCGTTTTTATTCTTTTGATCTTAGACTTCTTCAATGGACGTAAAGTTGCCATCAGTCTGAAGTCAGCTCCTCCCGTCAACCACCCTTTGAGACTGGAGGAGGACAGGATACTGGAGGACATGACAGTCATAAAGGCAGCAGAACCAGAAACTCCTAATGAGACGCCATGGGGAGCTCCTATAGTGTGGGGCGACAGCCAAAAGTCTGTGTTTCGGAAGAACAAAATCTCCGAACAAGGAGTCTCCATCGGTCTGCTGATCCTCGTGGTGGGAACCTACGCCCGCTTCGTTCAACCCTTTCTCTCCTCAGCAGAAATCCATTTTCTTCCKGATCAAATGGTCACTTATTTTGTTCTCACAGACAATCCTCGCACTCTGGATCCCTCGATTGAGCTGGGACCTTGGAGACAAATGAGAGTGCTCCTGGTGGCAGAACTGCCCRGTTGGGAGAGGTTGTCTTATCGTCGGATGGGGCTGTTTGCCGACACCATCCGGAATTCAATTGGTAGTGAGGTTGAGTACGTCTTCTGCGCTGATGTGGACCAAGAATTTGTGGGCCCAGTTGGSGAGGAGATCCTGGGAGGCCTAGTGGCTACATTGCACCCAGAAGTCTATGGGATGCCGCGAAACATGTTTCCTTATGAGGATCAGGAAGTTTCAGCCTCTTGCGTGGAGGAGGACGAAGGGGATTATTATTACACCTCAGAGTTTTACGGCGGGTCGCTTTCCCAAATGCGTAGACTCACCCATGACTGTTCTCTGCTAATTCTTCAGGACCAGGCAAACAGGGTAACAGCCAGAGGCCTTGAGGAAAGCTACTTGAACCGCTACCTGATAGACCACAGGCCAACCCGTGTGCTGTCACCAGAGTACAGCTGGTGGGATTCACCCCTGACTGCTCGTGTCCCTAAAAGAAGGCTTGTCTCCTTTGGGAGGCAATGTGAGGCCTTTGATATGGAGAAGAAAGAACAGCAGAAATGTTGAAGGACTGGTTTCCAGAAGTRCAGACAAAGACCCCAATTTACTAAAAAATGTGCAGCGTATTATTTTAGTTCCAGCTTTTGCACATCCTTTGCATCCTGCTCTGCCTCAGCATCGTATTCACAAAGTAAACARCACAACACACCTGTCAAGTTTTGCATTAGATTACAGTTATCCTTGACCCACAATCTAAACATAACAGAGTAGAGAAAAAATGATGGGGAAAGAGAGGGATGTTTTTAACAGTGACCTACAGGAAGCATTTCTTAAAACTATGACCAACCTTTTTTTTTTCTTTATCCGCCATCATTGTATCATTCTGTTCTTAACTAATAAAATGAAAGCTTGGGATTTATTTTTTATCCTGAACCAATGAGCACTAACACTCGGCCCAGATACCATAACTGGGCCAGTTGTGGCATGTCATAAAAACAGTGCAGTCACTGCCAGTCCTGGCCCCTCATCCGGTTGACAAATCACTTGTCATGCCAGCAGTCAGTCCGACACCAGATCTGGCCCACACCTGCCTGCTATGTGGGTTGGCTGACACATCATTTGAAGAGAGAGGATGAAACTTTACTTCACATACCTGGCAAAATATTTCATAATGTGTGTCATAAACTGCGCTGGTCTTTGAGATCTGAATACTCCTAGCTCTGGCTGCTGTTTACACAAACGTGGTATGAATTTCTTTTCAATTCTGCAGAAAACATCTTTCAAATGTGGACAAACTGCATCACTGCTAATAATAACTTAGCAGAAAAAGAAAGGAAATTTGTGTTTTGTGGATTATTTCTTTGTTGCAACAATGTTTCTTGGCAATCAATCTTATAATGGGCACCTGGGGGTACTCAAGCTCAAAACAAGAGTCATTAACAACATCAGAATAAGCTGTTTGACAAAAACAGAGAAGACTTTGTAAATTTTTCATTTGCGCAACCCACATACTCAAATGAATGTTCCTTACAAATGTGGCACCATTTAAAAGGGAAATTAACAGGCTTTTCAAAGGTATAAGATTTGATGCCAAGAAGCATTGTTACTACAGAAAAAATCATCTACCAAACACAAACATCCTTACTTTTTGTGTTAAGTATATACAGTATAGTGAGTCGACGGCACAGTTTGAAGAGCATGTCTCCCTTTGTGAATTGGATGGATCAAATCCCTCAGTTATTTTGTGCCACAAAGTATATGTCCCACACCTATGAAGGTCGGTGCTTTCCACTAATCACTTTGTTTAAGAGTTTTTTCAAGCGGTGTTATGACAAGTAAGCAAATAAAGACAAACCAAGACAAAACAAATGCTGCGCACATCTTAAGATTGGTGCACAAAATTTCCCTTTATTATCAGTTTTGTGAGCTAGAAAATGAAGTGTGCAATCACGCAAAGGCAAACAGCCCTGAATTAAAGATTAGTTTGAGTCAACAGTGCCCTTGCACGCTTGCTATCGCCTCCTCCTCARCAGACAAAAAGAAATGGACCTGTCTCTTTAAACAAAGCACTGTCCTCCCCATTAGAGCCTCAGAGATTCTGTTCCAGTGGCTTTGTGGTCAGCAGCGATAAGGCACGACTGTAAAGTGCACACTTTCCCCACAATGGTCAATCATTAACTGGGAGAGCTGCTGTTTCAAGGTCTTTAAAGACCAGGTGGGTGAGAATGGATCCAAGTTGCTTTTTTTTTTTTTTACGGGTTACACGTGTCTAAATGTTTGAGCTTCACCACCAATATGTGCAACAGTGGATATTTAATAAAAGCCTTTTTACACTGTAAAGGTAAAATAAAATTTAAAAAACTAATTCTGGTTAATCTGGTTGCTGTCTTTCCTCCCTCTCTCCCACAAAACACAAACACGCACCCACTTTCACACATTGCTCTCTCCTGCTTGGGTTTTATGGGAGGGTTAAACAGGAGCAGATGTGTTTCTCTCTCCCTCTCTCTCTCTCTCTCTCTCTCTCTCTCTCACTGCCAACAGAATCTGTCCTCAGGGCCAGACCGCCACGTGGAGCAAAGAAGGAGATGAACCTCAGATAATCCTGCAAGTCTCGAGACTCATTATTAGTACACACACAAAGTCATCCACTTAAACTATTTAAGCTTTAGTAGAAATGCTCTGCAGGCTGTTCAATTCTGTCATCATTTTGGTGAGAGGGCAAAGTAATACTTCCTGAAAATACAAGGCCAAAATATATCTCAGAAGCTCTCAGTTATTGTAATAGTTGTGAATTTACTGGTCATCCACTGCAGCACAAGTTAAAGCATTTCGATGTAAAATTCCCTAACTTTCAAATAAATTAAAGTCTCATTTTTAGCCTTATGTTTAGCGAACAGGAGCCAAATTAAAAGGCCAGTGGAGGGCTTATCCTGCCTGAAAATCGCAAACAGATCTGGCCTCCGGTAATCGAGATGAGAAAGGAAAAGGTTCGTTCAATCAATGATGACAACCACCGCGTCTAACTGGCAACGCTTCACACCAGCTCCTGCTTTGATGTTTGTTAGCAGGCCAAGGTTGCCACATCTGGCAAGTTGCAGGATTATGCAGTTCTGTGTTTTCATCTCATTTGTTTCCAAACAACAGCAGGCCACCATCCGCATCCCTCCTGCATTGACGCTAAATATATGACAATAATGCAAAAGAAACAAACAGAACATTTGCTGTATTTATTCATTATTTATTGCCTTTTTTCCATTTTGCTTTAATGAATAAGTGGGTTGGGTTTATTCAGCTGTAGTTTGCAGTTTCTGTCACGTTACATCGTATACACTAGACCGTACATCATAACCGTACATWTATACATCGTATACACGCACATCTGTGTCACAGCTGCATGAGGGGTGGGTGCTTTTAAGCTCTCGGTAACAAAAAATAAATAAAACAATATTTGTTAAACACAAAGTTTAATGCTGATGAACCAAAAGGTGACAACACCGTGAACATGTCTGCCCCGTTTAAAAAAGTATCGAATGTCAGATGTTTATCCTTGAGAAAATGAACATGGAAGAACATCTAGAAGCCCTTTTAAAATCCCTGTTTTCTTCCRTTYTCAGAGCAATTTGTTTATTTTTTAAGGCTGCAAAGTAACCCAGTGCAACCCARTCCTACTCCAGAAGACTTAACACTGTTGCACACATTCAAAGAGCATTTTCTGGTCTGTTTTCTAAAAGATTTGCTTGGTTTTTTTAGTAGCTTTTCATCGTAGCTGTTGTGTAACTCTATCTTTCTCTGCAAAATACCTCAAACCTTTGGAATTCAAGTTCGGCAGCATACCTGGCTGACATGAAACGCTGTTTTCTTTTTCTTCATCTTTTGAGACCTGGGAGTTTGAAAGTGTGCTCTGGATTCTTATCACATTGAAACATATTTTTAAACAGCTAAGCCTCTGGGGGAAAGCAGTAATTTCCCCAGTAAAACACTGTTGTTTATCCACGTGCTCCAACGGTAAATGTCACCTGGCTCTCGCGGCACTCTGTTCTGTCATACAACCTCAGTTTGGTGAAATACTTTAATTCTGACCAGATGATCGGCTACTGGCCAGTCCCACCAACCGTTTTATTGCAGTTTGTGAAAGCGCTGTTTTAATAACCTTCACACTTTTGTCAGTTTTACATGAGAGTTTTATTTAAATCAAATTATTTAATAATTCAAAAGCAGTGGCAGCAGCTGTTAGCTGTAGCACTTCCACCACTAGTGTCATATAACATAACATCTTTACTGAAAAGTTTAATAAATTTGGCAATAGAAGATTAGCACTACAGTCGGCATCTAGTTTGAAAAATAGTAAACAGTTTGTTCAAGTATATAATGTAAGATCTGAATTATGTAATATTAGTTGTGGAGTTCCTCAGGGTTCTGTACTCGGACCAAAACTGTGTATTTTATACGTGAATGATTTGGTCAATATGTCAAAGCTTTTAAAATGTATTTTGTTTGCTGATGACACAACACTTTTTATTCCGGTGAAAATATTAAACAGATGTTGAACGTGATACAGACAGAATTTAGGAAGGTTGAAACTATCATTGAATTTGGACAAAACAAATTATATGATATGTGGTGACAGAAAGACATCTATCAAAGTACCATTTCATATTGATGAAACTGAAATTTGTWGTCAGTGAAATTAATATTGGGTGTCGTCAGTGATAAAAAGCTGAAATCTCACATAAATTAATTAAGAATAAAAACAGCTAAATCAATTGCATACCTGTATAAAGTAAAAGAGTTATTAAATGATAGAGCTCTGTATGTATTGTATAACACAATGATTGTWCCGCATTTAATTACTGGTATTGAAGTTTGGGGAAAAGCATGTAAGACAATAACAAATGTTATAAAATATGTAATGCAAAACTGTGGGCAATCAAAAGGTTTACTCAGTAGTGTTTGCTCTAACTGCAATGAAAATTTAAAGGGGCAATATCATGTAAAATCAACTTTTTCGCGTTTTATATCATGTTATAATGTTATACTTTCGTAAAAAAAAAAACATGCCTAAAGCCTTGCTCTGACTCATTCATGTGTGTTTGAGAAATCCTGCAGCGTTTTTAGGCAGGCGTGCTGAGGAGCAAAACGACATGGGGACCAGAAACGCCCCCGGGACGTGTCTTTAAGCCAAGCTTCCTCATGGCGGAGCACACCTGCCCACCCCACATACCCCGCCCATAACTCCTGCAGGCTCTCGGTCGAGAAGGGGTTATCTGCGGAATCAAAGTGGGCGTGTCACAAGAGTGGGCGTGTCTAAACCATAAACACTGTGGGCTACAAGGCCCACATGATGGTATCCTTAGACCCTACTTCATCTTTTTACAGCCTGACCCTGACGCCAACACTAAGATTAACCAGGAGGAATGTGACCCAAGTAGGGTTCTCCAGAAAAAGTGTTGCCGTACAGTAACGCCCATTTTGTTCTTGTCCAATCAGGTGGTGCCGTACGGTGACGCCCCCTTTTTGCTTATCCAGTCAGGTGTGTCCCTTTAAAAAAGTCCATCAAATCAGGTGTGTCACTTTAGAATCGCCTTTCCTTGTGACACGCCCACTCGTCTGCAGAGACCCCTACTTGTCTCGGTCGGCAGTAACAGAGTAAAGTGAAAGTGAAAATTAAATTGTCTGCTACCTTTGAGGAAATGTATTTTCAGATGCCAAGTAAACTGCATCATAGCGAGCAACCCCAACCCCACCCCACAAGCGTGGACCCCACCCCACCCCCCAACTGAAAGGGACGGCACAGAAGCAGAAGGTGGTTTTTAAAGAGACGGAGACCAATTTCAAAGCATTTAGAAGTGGAAGTGATGAGAAGATAAGTTTATTTTCCATTTAAACATAAAAACAGCTTTTTAATAACAACTAAAGGTGACAGATACTTATATTGTATAGTATTTAAATGTAGTATGCCTGAGAAACACATAATATTGCCCCTTTAAAGGCTTGAGTTATTTTAAGAGGACCTCACAGTCTACTTGGATCTTGGCCTTGCTCTGTTTGTGAACGTATCAGCACGCCTGTTCAGTTTATCTATTAAGTCAAAAGTTTACTCAACTGTAGGTGGATTGATACATTCAGCAGCGTCAGGACACTGACATGCATGCTCTAATTCAGCACTTGCGTGTACATTTGCATAGCAATAAGGACGTTGTTCGGTTGTGACAAATTAATGATGCTACTGTGAATGCATAAAATTAAAGAGGTTTGATATTTGCAAGCGTAGCGTTCTTCCACACTGATATGTTGTTTTCCGAGAAGACAACTAACAGACCCTCATTTGACTAGCCATTAGCCTAGCCTGGATAAAGGTTTCTACCCATTTCTCCATCCTCCATGACAGATGTCACCTCTGAAAACTGCTAATAACAGAACTTCCCCTCAACTGTTCAGAACAGGGGTATCCAATCCTGGTCCTCGCTGTTATACAGGTTTATCTGTTACAACACACCTGATTTGAATGAATTGGTGATTAACAGGTTTCTGCAGAACTTGAAGAGTTAATTCGATCACTGACACCAGTGTTTTGGAGCAGGGAAACGAGTAAAACATGCAGGCCCTCGAGGACCAGGACTGGGCACACCCCATGGTCCAAGGCCTTACCGCTGAAACCCATTTAAAAAAAATCTGAGGTGTAGAGTAACAAAATGCTCTTTTTTTGTTACAGTACTTAACCAAGTTATGTCAACTGGTTCCACAAAGTAAATTGAGCAATTTACATRTTTTCTTTTAAAGGAAATGTATAGAGAATGTAAACCACTGGTCTTATGGATGATCTTGTTTGTTACTGCGATTGCTTAAAAAACTTTGAGGTTCGTGATTATGACTGAACCACCTTTTTTTATTTTTAGTTTGTTTGTTTGAGTCTTCTAAGTGAAGCATTACGCATGAAGGAACAATTCTATTGTGAAATGAAAAACAGCCCCTTCAGGTGTTAGCCCTTTGAAGCAGAGCAAACATCTCTATCGCTGTCTGTTAATGGTTGTAGGTTAAAACATGAACTCTTGATTAGCTCTAAAACTGCACCTCAATCAAATCAAGAATCCAATAAAAATTGTGTTTGAGAAATGCACTGCTTTTATAAAACGTTCTATATACAGTATTTCTACTGTATATATACATCATCATGAAAAGCATGGAGCGTAATGTTTGTCTTGAAACAAAGGGGAGGTGTATTGTCAAGATACTCAGCTCCTATCATGCRACACCTTCAGGGCCTCAATAAACAAAGAAGTATGAAAATCAATGAGTCACCTCCCACCCAAAGGTTTTACTTTACTGTTTGCACAGCAGGCAAGTTGTCAGACAAGCTTAATGCAGTCAACTAGGTTCTTAAACGTGCACCAGTTCGAAGAAAGAGAAGGTGCAATGCGTTTAATCCTGTGTTTCCCTATTCTGAAGGTGATTTGTGCTGAAAACAGCCGCTTCCCGGTTTAATTTGAGCCGTACAGTGGCCTGAACTGTCGGYGTAGATGAGTTTGAACCATATGAGTTGTGTGTGCGTGCAACTGTGTGACGAGTCAGGGGGATGGGTGGGGTGAAGAGCTACAGTAATCTGCTGGATTCACACAAGCCTTTCCCCACCCTGCCCAGGGCTACACCACTAATCACTACGTCAAGGGGACTGAGGCTGCTAGATAGTCCAGCTGACAGGAAGCATGCATGTGTCCATTGTTGTGATGACAGTTCAATACCTATGGCCATCTATCTATGTGACATAGATACGTTTAACATGTAGTTTAAATAAACTACAACAATTTATTTAAAATTAATGCCAGTGCTAACAAACATAATAATCATCTGGCACCAAAGGGCCAAGATGTCTGTGTTTGTTTTTCTGAATGTGTTTATGCCTAGAACATAATTGGAATTGAAAGAAACAATTAAGTAGATTCAAGATGGCTGCCACAGCCAACTGACTCAAGAAAACACTAAAGTGTTTATAACTCAGGCAGTTTTACAGATATTGAGCTAAAGTTTGGTGTGGTAGTAGCTGAGAGTCATTCAAAAGACATATGAAGAATGTAAATAGATTGTGCAAGATCTGTGATTAAATTTTTGCCACTATTTGAAATCTAATCTGTTAGCAAAATATCTTGTGAACCACTAGAGGGATTTAAATGACATTTTCAGGAAATAACGTGTCACTACAACAGAATAACGTCTAGTTAATTCTAGTTGGGATAGCCACCACAACCATCCATCATTGAAAAACACACAAAAAAAGCTGTTATTAAGTCAATTTGCAAATATGGCGCTAAAATTAGGTGTGGTAGTAGCTGAGGGTCATTTACAACACATATTTCAAATGCTACTGGCGTGAGATCTTTGCTTAAAACTATAGCATTAACTGTTTGAGTCAACACTGCTTGTCTGTTAGCAAAATATCTCAGGGAAGACTGGACAATCTAATGATCCTTTTAGGAAATGACAGATGGACATAGTCAACCTGGTTCAAAATGGCATTATCCAACACAAAGATGACTACAGGTCAATCAGTTTTACAGGCACTGAGCTAAAATTGGATGTAGTAGTAACATAAAGTYGTTCATAACTCGCACTCTGAACGTAACATCAGATTATGAATAACGTCAGTGTTAAGGCTTGACTAAAAGGGTTGCATTTCTGTCATTTCTCAAGATAGGTTGATCTTAATCCAAAACTGTGGCACGAAAGGAAGTGGGTGACACGCATTCCTTCATAAAAGGTCTTTATTTTGTCAAACGGATAAATAAGAAAAGTTGTTTTAAAAGAGTTGCTGTCATTACAATGCATCCCYTGTCTGAAAGTGGATTTTCACTGCAGTACAAAAGCTACCTCTGACTTTTTTCAGTAGGCTACAATTAGTTTTACCATGTCAGCAAAACTCTGCACTGGGGTTGTGTGTATGTGTGTGTCTGTGTGTGTGTGTGTGTGTGTTGTTGGAGAAAAAGCTTATGTGCTAAAAGAGAAAAGGGAACTACTAGCTAGAAGTGTTTTCTTGCAATAATAGCAGTTTAAAATTGAAACAAAAAAAAAATTGACTGAAGTCAAACACACAACAGAACACAACACATTCCAAATAAAAGTAGTATGCAGCAACTAACACACATTAACTTATTGATTCACAGTGCAAAACAACATATGCAACCTTTTAACTTGACGTGGAAAGGTGGGGGAAATGTTTTAAAGAAAGGAGCAAGTTAGGACCAATCCAACTGTCAGCCCCTGTGGGCAGCAGAGATCCCTCCCAGGAGCGGAGTGAGCGCAGGGAGCCCCGGCTGCTAAAGCCTACCGCCTCAGAGGGACGATGGTGGAGGGCTGGTAAAGATGGCGGCTCTCTCCGAGGATGGGAGGTACGGATTAAATTGTGGCGATCAAGGCGCCGAAAGAGTCACCGTGTTGCACGTCAAATTGACCGAGACGGCGCTGAGAGCTGTAGAAAATTACCAAAATAGCACGGTGAGTGAAAAATCGACTTTATTCGTTTTATATTTTTAGTAGCTAGCAGCTGGGAGTCTCGAGCTGACACCGCTTGACTCAGCTAGGAAGCCCAAAMTGCCACGCACAGCTAAAGCTACAGCTAAAGCCTTTGACAGCTCGACTTTTTTCTTTCTTAAAAAAAAAAAACTACATTAGTTGGTTTCACTCGGTTAAACAACTGAGTTAGATACGTGAGGGTTTGGTCTCATGTTCCGAGCGGGTTCTACGAGCTGACACGCGTTTAATAACTTAAAAAACTTAGTTAAGTTACAGACGCACCGACTGACTAGCATTAGCTTCATCTTTTCCTCCCTGTTCTTCTTGTCAGGCTAACTAAAGCTACTTAACCAAAAAAAGAAAAAAAATAGTTTTACATTGTAAAGACTCGTGGTATGGCAGCAGTCACGACTTATTTAAATGTTTAAAGCTTTGTACACCAAATTGAACTTAATTTCGATTATGTTTTATGAATTCAGAACAGGGTGGAAATATATTTATTAAAAAGTTAATTTGAAGTCAAGTGGCGTCTGAAGCATGCTGCCGGTGACTGGTCATGTTACCATATGGCTGAAGAGAAAACCTAACACCGCAACCTGGCAGGGATACGGAGCTCCTACCAGACTCAGACCTTTTATAGCTCTTTAACCCGGTTATTTAAAACAAGTTTCTATCAAACTGACTCCCACATTAGCCATAGGGTTATGCACAAGCAGTGTTTGTTTTATCTTACATGTATGTTCCAAGCCAACAGTGAGAGGATATGCTCAGTCAGGGGTTTTACTAAAATACAAACAAATAATAATAATAATAATAATAAATGGCTTCAGCTTGTTATTTTGTGCCAAATATGGCATCAGTACACAACAAGCTGATTTCCAAGCAGAATAGTTTTTTTTATAGGATCAAGCTAAACCTGGTGAACCTTTGTGTTTTTTTCCCAAGACTGCACTTTTTTCTGCCAGAATCAGACTGGCGTTTGGGTATACCTAATCTGTTTGTGTAAAACAAAAATAAATATAACTTGCTAGTCCTGAACTGTTTAGGTGATGTAATCACGTTAAGGTTAACGCAGGTAAACTAATCTAGAAAAAACATGCGCAGTCTTGAGTTGCAGTCGCTTGCAGCCAGGTTACCTGACCTTAAATCCTTCAAGCTGTCAACTATACAGTTACATAAGCTGGAGACTCTGCCCAGGTGTCTGTTCGGGACCAATGGCACTGCAGAACAAGTCTTAAGTGGTCAGTCGTTGCTTTTTTAACAACACTTCCGGTGTGTTTTGATTTAATGACATTTTAAATAGATTTCTAAATTCAAAGCTTTGGCAAACCAAATCCCAAAAGGTTAAAGGTGGGGTGATAATGGTTTTGCCTGTGTGCGTGTGGTTGTCTGTCATGTTCAGTCAGCCAAATTCAAAATGGCCAGCTGAGCTCACAGAACACAAACATGGCTATACATCCATCATTCTTACAGGTAACAAGCTCAGATTTGGCGTAGCCTAGCCTAATCTCCAACACATACCCTGAGCGATAACTGACTGTAAAATATCTCATGAACTAAGTATTTAATGAAACTTATCAGAAAATAATGCCTGGATGGACATCTACAGRTCAACCTTTGGACTCAGTCCAGTTCAAGATGGCCACCATTAGTTGACACGAAAATGTCTAGAAATCTTTACATTTTGCAAACATTGAGCTCAAATTTGGTGTGGTAGTAGCTGGGAGCCATCTTCAATATATAATGTGAGCACCACACATTGCATGACACATTAGCTTAAAATCGTGGCATGAAACGTCGACTTTAACCCTGTTAGCAGAATATCTCATGAACCACCAGCTAAGCAACTTCAGCTACCGCAAAAATGACTATAACTCTGTCAGGTTTTTTTTGCGTACAGTATATTGTAATTTCTTAGCATACTATTTTAGTTTAAACTGTGGCATGAAAGATTGCAGGCTGTGTGCATTCCTTCAAGGGGTGCTAGGTGCTTTATTTAAAATATGGGTGATTATTAAAATAAAACGTTGGGTGATTATTAAAATAAAACTTTATTTCCCTAATTTCTTTTGTTCATAAAGTTACCATTACCTGTGGATGCTGAGTGGACGTTTGTAATTATTTTACAGACCGAATAAAGAAAACAAAGCATGACATTAAATGAACCTTTAACAGAGTTCAACTAGGTTTTGTCTCCTTGTGTACTCAACAGTTAAAAAGAAAAAGAAAATTGACACCTGCATGATGGATCACCAGTCTTCCACCTGCTGTTGAACCGGCAATCATTAGAGATTTCTGCTCAGCTTCACATATTTACTAAGTTTGACAGCTGGTCGTCCGCCTTTTCACTAAGCTGGAAAGAAAAAATTCCTTTTGTACCGACCCGTGCTACAGCCTTATTGGACGGGTTAGCCCGTTCACTGCGCTGGACAGCAGGCAGCCTGCCATCTCTTGCTGACTGAGCAGCCAAAAGTGCCTGCTTTTTGTTTCTCTCCCCCTCAGTAATGTGCGCTGCAGCTGAACCAGCCGTCGGAACTATGGAAGCTGGCTATCTTTGTCGTTCTGTGGTGATGTGAAATGTGATCAGAACTCTGTGAGAGAGTGGGGGAGGGAGTGTGCGTGGTCTGGAGTCGCTCGAGCCTCCACAGCCCGGGACACGTTTCCCTTCAATCCCACAACAAAATTTTATCTTGCAACCCATTCTTTTGGAAGCGTGTTTCAGTGTTGGGAGCTGAGGAGAAGCTGCTGTTGATAAAGTRAACGTTTCACTCCCAACCAGTTAAACTCAGAGCTTTGAGCCAGCTTTTTTCTTGTGTTTAAACTGGGTGAGAAAACTGTGAGTTTAGTGTTTTCTTGTCCTAACTTAGGATATGCCGCTCACACAGCAGCCACTGCAAATTTGTGGCTTTCAGCTTTATTGCAAGGAGACGCTGACACACCTACACACACAAAAAAAAATGCTTCATAAATACACGGTTTAGTGTTTTATGTGTTGAGATGGATTTTCACTGTTCAAAAAAAAAAACTGTTCAGTCTATATGAATAAAAATAAATCTAATGCCACCTAAATTTGTTTTAATTTTTATTTTATAATTTTCAGAATGTACCTTATTCACGGCCTACAATACAATTCAAGGGACTCCAAGGGGTAAGTAATTTTTACTACAAAATTTATGTGAGCTAAGTGGTTTTGTTATCTTTTTCAATRTTTCCTTGCTTCATGACACCTAATTCTAATAAAACGGTTCATTATTGGGCTACTTGTTTTATTTGAGTCTAGTCTGCACTGTGAAAAGTAGTGCGTGCAAGACTGAGAGGCTGCATCTCCAATAAAAATGTCTTAAAAGACACTAAAACCACTGATTAAATTTTGTTGATATGAACTTTAAAGGCTCCTCAGTTTACACTTAATGATATCACCATTATTTGCTCAATATGCCACACTTTGATTTTTATTTTCTTCCAAAGTTTAAGTCAGTGTGTTTTAATTGTTAAAAACACACATTAGGTGATTTGTTAAGTGCATGTAGTTTTTAGTTATTTTCTGTCTTATTCTTTTGCAGCACATTAAAATTCCCAAGACAGACTCCACCCCAGACGCCTTCCACAATTTTGATTTCTACCTGTCTAACGTGGGCAAGGACAACCCTCAGGGAAGCTTTGAGTGCATCCATCAGTATGTGTCGAGGTAATCACGGTTCAGCTGAATCAACCGTTGCCGTCTTACTGCACGTCGCTGGAAGATAATCCCTCTCTGCCTCGTGTTCCTCTCTCGTGGTCCATCTTTGTCTGCAGCTCAGGGGCCTCACACCTGGCATTGTTGGCGACCGTACAGGACAAGGTCACTGTGTGCGCCACCAATGACTCCTACCAGGTGACCCGGGAACGTATGACCCAGGCTGTGGAGGATACACGTGAACGCGGGACCAAAGTCATCAAACCTGGGGGCCAGTACAGAGGTGAGGCCCTAACTAAAGTCTTGCATATCTGTGACTGATATTTGTTTTCCCACATGCCTCCAAGGCTTTAACATTCAACAACTTTCCCCGCATTTTATTCAGTCTTTATTATCACCACCTGAGCTTTATGGCTTTATCAAGCCTGAGTGCAAAAGCTGGCAAATAAATCCATTTCATTATTTACTAAAGGGTTGCCAAGTGCTCCCAAAAAGGACAGTGTCACAGTACAAGCACTAAATTCTGCTTGTGTTTAATTTTTTTCCCATAAATTAAGACTTTGTTTAATTTGTTTAATTTCACAGGAAATAATCTAAATACCTGTCTTATTCATCCATCCATTTTGAGGAGCTGGTGTCCATCTCCAGCAGTCAGTAGCTGCATTTCCATTCCAAATGTGTGGAAAACTGTCGATATTGTGTTAATGTCGAAAAAACAGTTTCGCAACTGCGGTGTTTTCAGTAAGAAATGCTATTAAAGTCACACATGAATGTTTGTTCTCATGATAAGTCATTACAAACATGGCGGCAATGGATGTAAACACATAGCATGTTGCTACCACGACACTAGCGCTCATCATCAGAGGAGACGTCGGCGTCTTTTATCGAGGCTTTCCAGCAACAAGCCCCTACTTGGGAGCGGCTACGTATGCTGCGTTTTCGGGAAATTGTAGTCGGTGAGTTTACTACTTTATACTACTTCTGTGATTTTACTACTATTTCTACTTCCTGTTACCTTCTTCTTCGTCATCGTCTTTTTCGCCAGTAGAAACAACCGGTTGTTGATCACGTGACTCCCGTGATGCAAAAAAAGTGTTTCCATTGCAGTTTTGCGAAAAACACCAATTTTGATACGGCTGAAATACCACCTCTTCCTAGCGCAAAAACATTTTGTCGAAAAAAATTTTTTTTTCGAAATTGACGTGTTTTCATTGAGCAAATTTATTTTCAAAATTCTAATTTTCATGGTCAATGGAAATGCAGCTACTGAGACGCATAAAGACAAACGAGACGACCATTCACGTTCTCACTCACATCCAGGGACAATTTAGTTACCAATGAAACGAACATGTATGTTTAGAGAAAACCCACACATGCACAGGAAGAACATGCACGGCCTTTCTCTCCTTTGCATCTCGTGTCTTCTTTGGAAGCGAGTGTTTGTAGTGTTACTGCAAAATTATGATTTTAAAATACAGAAATTTTAAATGAAAACATCTACATTGTGGGAAACTGTTAATATAAAATGTCACATTTTTATTTCAATCAAACGAGGAAGTACTATTTCACGAGTCCTTATGTTTTTTCGCTCAAAARGCTTCCCAAAACTTTCTGGAAAGTCCATTTTAAACATTTTCACAGTTATGGTATTTTACTTATATTTTTTAGGAGGTTGACAAAAAGCGGGACACAATATAAAAAAAAGAAAAAGTGTCCTTCACATCCGTCTATTGGTATTTGGTCATGTTGTTTTTTCTCACCTTTACTGTATTTCAGAGCAAATATTGATACATGTAGAATTAAAACAAACAAAGGGGAATGTTTAAAAATAGTCAAACCGCTGCTTGTATTAAAGTGTATCTTACCTCCCTGGGAAAAGATAACTCCGCCCCAAGGCGAAATTTGAAAAATGCATCAAAGTGGGTAGGGGAGGGGGTGTGGGTAGGGGAGGTGGGGGTTAGAGAGCGGAGGTGTGGCCAGGACGAGAGAACGTGACAGCCTCGGCTGAGCTGTCCGCCTCACAGGACAGAGGAGGTGGAGCGCTCCGCGACAGCCTGACATAAAAAAATAAAAGCATACAGCTGCAGCTGCTCTCAAGATCACTAGTTTAAATCAGGAATAAAAGTGTTGGGTCTTGTTTGACTGAAGTTTGGTCTGTTAGGGCTGCAGCTGCCCCGCTGTGTTTCTACTTTTTTTTCCCTCCTCCCTTCCCGCTGTGCAGGAGGACTGCTGGTGTGTGTGTGTGTGTGTGTGTGAGCTCTCCCCACCCAGGTCAACAGACGTTCATGCTAAGCTTGCTAACTGTTCCACCCTCTGACTGCTGCAGGGGCGTGTCTTGGAGAGAGGTTTTTATACCAGAACACAGCCGCTGTGACGAAACCGTGGAGAAGACACGTCACAGCGGAGAGCCGTTAACCAGTATGCAAATTAGCCTGCAGAACCACTGCTCTACCCAYATGAGCAGCAAAAASAYRTTTTTAGACCAAATATTACAGRTTTGDACAAATAYRCACAAAAACATCAAAATTAGCACAGAAACAGTACTATATAACATTTTAGACACATTCTAGACAGTTTATCAGCTAAAAAAATTAATTTTGGGGTAAGTTACTCTTTAAAGAGCTCGTTGAGTATCGTATCATGGAATATTTTAGCTCACAACTGTTTTTGTTTCTGTGCTCGATGTCGAGCAGGGAGGACACTCGTGTTAGTCATATTACTACAGAACCGTGTCAGAACAATTCGTCATGTTCTGCTCCTTCCTGGGAAGACCCAATGTTTCCAAATTTTGACTTTTAATTGCATTTTGTTCCACAAGGATGCAGATTTTGTCAGTTACCCCATGATGTTGCATAATTTTATGGGTTATAAATGTGAATTACTGGTTAAAACCACATTTCTTGTAAGGGTTAGACTCAGATAAATCATTTGAATTTTACTTTTAGCTTATTTTCAAACTCTAATTAAAAAAAGGCTGTAGCTGAATGAATTTTCTTTTATTACGGTAGTTGGAGCAGAAACAAACCCAGAAGGTGCTCAAGGTGTGGTGGAATGATTGATTGATTTGTGTCTTAATGCAAACCCTCAAGAGAATTTCAGTAACTTGTCAAAGGCATGTAATGTCCCCTTTTAATGTAGATGTGGGGAAATATTTGCATAAACCGGCTCAGACAGAAACTGGGAAACGAGAGAAGCTGCAGAGAAGAGTGTCAGGAACCTGTAGCAGCTGGTTAAGAGTTGGTGTTTTAATTACGAGCAACGAGATTCTGGTTTGAAGCCTTTAATGTTCCTAATGTGTAATCTGTATCTAATGAACAAGATTTAAGCAGAAACATTTTCCACGCTGCACTTCGTTAGATAACAGATCCACTGATAGATTGTGTTAAATTCTAGTCTGATTTGTTAAGGAAGGAGGAAGAGGAGTTTTTTTTCCCTCTTGCTTCCCCTAATCTTTTAAAGAGCTTAAGAATTTCAGAACACCTTAGAAAGTATACGGAAATGTTCCCAGGTAAAACATGTGACCCAGAAAACAGGTTCTATCTGCACTGCAGCACGTTTCTGTTCTAATGTCTTTAAAGGTAACAAGAGAACATCAGTTTAATGTGGTTCAAATGTTTATTTTTATCATCATTACATTATTACTATGATATTTTTTACTTTTTATGACAGCCTTTTTTCAAAAATTAAAAAATCATTCTGAAACTGTATTTCAGGTGCATATTTCCAGTGTTTTTCAAATATTACTTTTTTCCTTCTGTCTTTTTAAATTGTGTATGTATTGTCTTTGTTTTCACCACATTTGCTTTATTAAAAATAAAGCCTAAAATTCCTC